AACTTGTTTCCCCAGAGTTTAGCCATCAGTTCTATGAAATTCTGAATCAAGCACTGAAAGACTGTGATACCTTAAGTAGTACTTTTTTCACCTCTACCTATGAAATGTTTTAAGCCTTTTTTTTTTTTTTTTGCATTTCATTGGAGGGAAAATCAGCTCTATTTTCTTCTCACTTTTACTACAATGAGCCCTGTGACCCTAGGCAGTCACTTTGTGTTTAGGGCCTCTATTTCCTCCTCAGACAAATGCTAGGTGATTTCTAATAGTACATGAGTTCTTTACAGAAAGCTCAACATTCTCTGATTCTGTCTCATTACCTCCTTAGCATCTGAGGTCAAGGTGTCCCTTAGGTGCCACTCAAAGTCAGTTGCAGGTGTCCTAAATTGAGGCCAGTGATCAGTTAGCAGCAAGCCTGTAGTTGGGGAGGAACCTCTCTGCTCTGAACTCCCCCCACATTTTTATGAGGTTCATTTGTTAAATATCTTACTTCAGATCTGCCTGCCTGTGCCTAGTATTTGGTATTTTTTAGTGATTTCCTTTAAAAATCTGGAGTTCAGCCACTTCACCCACCACCCCCACCCTTCCATGCACAAAGTGTACCCGTGGGAATCATGACATTGTACAAGTCACCCAGCTGGTATTTCAAGATGCTTTGAAAGGCATTGCTTCTCTACCAAATAATTATGTTCACTTTTAGAATGTGAACTAGGTGTAGTGAAGGGTTTGGGATACAGAGCAGGTAACTCTTGATTGCTTTTGTGTAAGAACTGTTCACGATGCGTCTTGCTTGATTCAGTGGCCAGGGACAAGAGTTCCCCAGATCTGAGCATTCTGACAGCATCCAGGAAGGATGAGCCCTGAATGACTGTACCCACCTTGCTGCTTAAGAGATATCAATCCCCTCTTTTTTCTTTTCTTTTTTTTTTCCCCTGTTCTTTTCTTCTTTTTTCTGCTCTCCTCAATGCAGCATCATCTCATCCTGTGGAAAAGAAAAGACAGCATCCCCAAATATTGCCATGTATGCTCACTCTCCCCACTTCCAAAAAAAGAAAAAAAATTAGGATAACACTCCACTCCCCTACCAAAAAGTCAACATTTACTCTCCTTGTTTGTTCATTCCTCTCTTTTATTACTGAATGAGGATTAGATAAAACAGAGAAAAGAGACAAGAACAAAGCTGCAGGAAGAAAAGAATTGAAACAATGGGATCCCTGATGTATCTATGTGGATGTGGGAAGTAGGAGGGCTCCCTGGCCATTTAGTGAGGTTCCTAGACGAAGCCCCAGATCTTGGGTTAGTTTGGGAGTCTTCAGAGCCTGTGATAATACTCAAGGAGTGGGGATGGTGGGATTCTGGCCTGGGAAAAGTGGGTTGAGGGGGCGTTGACATTGCCTGCACTTTACTCTGGATCTGAACCTGTTCCCAAGCCAAAGATCTTTCTCCTCACACCTTCCTTGAAACAGGGTTGGTTTGGGCTTTTTCCTGGATTTTACTAAACCACTAGGAACTCTCCTGTAAGGAGATTTGAGACAAAAGTGATAGTACAGATGGAACCTTGGAGTGGCTCTAAATTCCAGAGTCCAGCTCTGTTTACAATAGCCAAGATATGGAACCAAACTAAATGTCCATCGATGGATGATTGGGTAGGAAACTGTGGTATATACACACCATGGAATACTACTCTGCCATAAAAAAGAATGAAATA